CGGGCCCCGGGGGGAACCCCACCCCGACGTGCACGTCACCCGGAAGTGACGTGACCACGCTGGGCACGTTGGGGGCGGGGCCACGGTCATCCGAGGGAAAACTCTATGGTTTCCCTTGGATGGTCATGGCCCCGCCCCCAGCGTGCCTGGCGTCATCACGTCACTTCCAGATGACGTGCGTGCGAAGTGCGCGCCCTCCAGCCACCAGCTGGGAGTCCCCCACTGCGGCTCAAAAAACACTTGGCAACCCTATGTGGCCACCATAACACTGGTCCCATTGACTTTTATAGGATAGACCTGATATGTGACAGTCTTTGATGAGAGATAAGTGTCACCAAACAGGACTAAAAGATTCACTAAAAATGCAGTCTTAAATTTAGCTATACCCCTCCTAAATCCATTGAAGTAAATGAGTTTAGACTGGATTAACTTTGCATAGGATTGCACTGTGAATATGTTCAGTATATATCTGCATAGAATTAGAATAGTCCACACCCATTAATAACCAGTGCTGGAGCACATGAGGAGGAGGAGAATAAAGCAGTTATTTATTCCTTATCTTCCTTGCATTCCTTATCTTGGAGCTCACAGTTGTGCCTTGTCTCTGTGTCATCGCTGCACTTTCATTACTACCAACTCCATGTAAGAAGCCATTTATTTGCTTTTTCTGTTCTAAAACCTGGTCCAACATTAAACAAAAATACATGCATATTCTGCCGACTGTAAACTTGACAGCTTCATATATACTATATACTTTATGCTAGCTCTGATTTCTTAAAGTGTGATTAGATTATCTCTGTGCAGCTACCTTTCAAATGTAAAATATAATGTGAAAACATAATTTTCACCTAGTTATACCTTCATGGATTTTTGGTCACGAACCTTGTCTACCTATTTATGTACATATAATCTAAATCCACTGTGGCTAATGTACAAATAATAATAGTAGGCATAGAAATATTGAACAGTAATGTGTGGACTTCTTAAAGGCTTGGTCTTGCATAAATCCAGGCATACAGAGAATAAAGTGTTTTAGGGAGAAACAACAGGATGATGGGACTGCCGCCGCCACCATTTCATTCTGCATGGATGCAAATCTTTGTAGGGCTTAATTTTAGAAGAAATTGATTTTCAGGCATCCAAAACTGGAATAAAATGGCATTTAACAGCCATATTTGTTCCGGTGGGTTTATCAGGCTTCTGTTTCCAGTATCTGAGAACATTAAAACAAGGGTATATGCAGTTTACACTGACACCAGCTTCAGCTATAGTCATACATGATCAACATGCATACTTCACATTTGCTGGGCTAAGTAGTTTCCAGCAGAGTATGCCCAGAATGGAAATAAGTGGACTTGCAGTAAAACTGTATGATTTGGACACTACACCTCAGCTTCTGAAAGCTGGTACTACTTGTGGGATTTGGCTTATAGTTTATCGCAGGGTGTGTTTTTTGTAGAAAAAGCCCAGCAGGAACTCATTAGCATAACAGACCACACCCAACAGCAGATATATTAGGCCACACCCATGACAATACAGCTCATTAGCCCATTAGGCCACACCCCCATGTTACCAGAAGTCTGGTCATCCAGCCACACCAACCTTTTGCTTCTTATTCTATTTACCTTGTTTGTTGTCAAAACCCAGAGCTTTTCTTGTAGCAGGAACCTCTTTGCATGTTAGGCCACATACCCCTAATGTAGCCAATCCTAATGAGTTTCTGCTGTTGGGTGTGGCCTATTATGCTAATGAGTTCCTGCTGGGCGTGGCCAACTCGGGAGCCAGTCGGAACTCCGTTCCTGTGCGTTCCTGCCCAAAAATAGCCCTGATTTTATATGGTCTTCTAATTTCTGAGCATGGAAGGCATGTGCAAAATGCATCCTTTCAGGCTTTCCCCCTTCACCCTATGGCATGGGAAACTTAAAAAAACAGGGGGGGGAAAGAAAAACCCTCTGATTTTCAATTTGTTACAATATCCCCTGAACCCAAAAGAATGACCCCAGAAGCCATATAGTCTATATCCATGAATTAAAGCAAAATATATTACTGAATGAACTCAGAACGGTTGGACTTAAATTTCACATTCTGACTCACCTTTTGACTAGTTAAGTCTTGCATTGAGAAATACTGTGGCTTTTACATTAGGGATGAATGCCAAAACAAACTATTATACAACCACTCTGGGCCCATCCCCTATTATTAACTTGCAGTCAGGAGATCCTTGTCAATTGGGAAATCTGTACATATCTTAGATTACTGAAAGAATGGAAGAGCGATTGATGAGAATGTGGAAAGCACAGGCGAGCACACAATGAGGACCCTGGCAGTGCTATCCTAAGCAGAGCTCTATCCAGGGGTCATGTCGTAGGAAAAGAGGTGCAGGAGCTCATTAGCATAACTCATTAGCATAATTTATTATTGGCTCAACCAATGGAGGGACAATCTCATGCACGCATGCTCTCTCCCATACGAAGCAGGAACAGGAAGCAGGAGGGAGGGGCTGAGGGAACTGGGCAAAAGGAGCTGCGATATGGCTACAGCCACCACCATATGTGCCTGCTCCTGGGCTTGTTACTCCCGGAACACGGTTCCTGCTCATTCCCCCTCGAAATGACCCCTGGTTATATCCAGAGGTCATTTCGCGGGGGAACGCGGGGGAACGCAGTTCCCCCAGGTGAGGTGCAGGGGGCGGGGCACATGACGAAGCCCACCGCCGGGCCCCTGATGCCAGGGGGTGTGGCATATGCTAATGAGTTATGCTAATGAGTTCCCCTAGCTCTTTTTCTACAAAATGACCCCTGGAAGGCCATTCACCTCACTAGACTTAGAAGGTGTATCTCTACTTAGGATGGTCCTGTTAGAGACTTTGGGACAGGGGGTTGTTTTTGAGTGAGAAATTAGTTTCTTACACACACTGCTAAGGGCCATTTGTGATATAATATTCCATACTGATAATGTGAACATTTATCCAGGGCTCTTTTTGTAGAAAAAGCCCAGCAGGAACTCATTAGCATAATAGGCCAGACCCAACAGCAGGGACTCATTAGCATATTAGGCCACACCCCTGACAGCACAGCTCATTAGCACATTAGGATGCACCCCCATGTTACCAGAAGTGTGCTCATCCAGCCACACCCACCTTTTGCTTCTTATTCTGTTTACCTTGTTTGTTGTCAAAACCCAGGGCCTTTTTTTGTAGCAGAAACTCTTTTGCATGTTAGGCCACACACCCCTAATGTAGCCAATCCTAATGAGTTTCTGCTGTTGGGTGTGGCCTGTTATGCTAATGAGTTCCTGCTGGGCGTGGCCAACTTGGTAGCCAGCTGGAACTCCGTTCCTGTGCGTTCCTGCCCAAAAATAGCTCTGATCTTTTCTAAATTAATCTAGGGGAAACATGGAAATTCCTTGCGATCACTCCGTTATCAGAACAGAACTTGTCAAGAAAAATGGAGGCACCAAAGGCTGATCCGAACTTGACTGATTTAGTGTCGAGGGCATGGGCATGAAAGGTATCTAGTTGACTGCTTGGCCAAGAGCTCTTACACAGTACTTCAGTATATATTTACATGTGCTGTTATCAGGGGTCATTTTGTAGAAAAAGAGGTCCAGGAGCTCATTAGCATAACTCATTTGCATATGCCACACCCCCTGACATCACCAGAAGTGAGTCAGGAGGCAACAGCCACCACTCAGGCTCCCCTGGACTGTTTTAGATTGCTAGCTATGGGGGAGGGGGGGACATGCAGATCTGTCCTCACAGAGGAGGGAGAGCTTGTACCTGAATAAAACCTGGTCTGGCGCAGTGGATGGTTGTGGACGTGTGTCGCGGGGGGGGGGGCTCTGCAGCTTACCTGTCTGCTTCTTGCTCTGACTGAGGGCTGCTGGGAGCAGGGGTGGGGCTTGTTGCATGTGCCCGCCCCCTGGGCTCTTTACTGCCAGAGCTCTGCTCCCATGCGCTCCTGCAGGAAATGACCCCTGGCTGTTATCACATTCAGTTCATTTTATCTTTTTTCCCCTGGTGACAGTGCTGGCAGCGGTTTCGTCAAGAATGGACCTGGATGAACTCTCATTATCCTCAGTGCATGGCTTCCCTGTGGACTTTTGATGACATTTAAAAGCAACACACAGGGTTGGGGCAGGATAACCAGATTCCAACCAATTTGCTCGCCCGTTGATCATTACCTCATCCCATATTTACTCTTCTTATATGTTGCCAAAGTGAACCCTGAAGTGGGCATGTTGTGTACCAAAGTATACCACAAGAGGTGGGATCATCTTAACATAAACACAGGGACCTGGAACGTTCTGCGGAGCTTTTACAATTATTTCAAGTTCATTCTGTGATACTTTACTGTAGTGTGACGGGCCATATGGGAAGCAGTCTGTACACATGATTTTATGGGCCTGCTTTTGCTTCAGTCCGGCCTCTGCTTAGAACATGTTTTTGGATCTTCCGCATGTTCTGAATGTCACACACATAACATTTTCTGTATAAAATATAGAAATATAAAAATAATACTTCATGCAATACTACAACCTCTCTCCCAATGCAGTGTCGTGTTGTCAAGGGAGCGTGGCCTCCCCGTTACCAAAAACGCTCAAGAAACAGTCAGTCTGAATGGCAATTTACATTGCTCAGGTGCTGGTCCCTGCAGTCTCTTTCAGCTTAATGGGATATTTTGTACTCTTTTTCCCTTTTTCTGCAAGTAAGTGTACATGATTAAGAGATGAAATAAGCAGATAGAACTTAAATAGCAGAATCAATCCTCTCCTGGCGCCGCTTCATGATTTCTTGAAGTTCTGACTCCCCTCTGCTTTTCTGGAATGAACAGAAAAGATAAAGAGCATGAAAAGTTTTGTTGAAATAGCTCTCAAATGTTATTTTTAATTTGCTGAACATTATCCCAGATGGCTATGATCAAAAAGATATTTATTTGTTAACTTACATTCTCACGGCAGCCAGAATTCTAATAGCTAAGCACTGGAAGTCTGAAAGTATACCTCTAAGAGACAGTATCTTACAAGGGAAAGATGATTTAATTTTTCAAAATAGATGGTCTAGAGTATATAAGTGGTTTTGAAAGAAAATGTAATATACACTCCAATGAATGAAACACTAGTGGTTTCGAAAGAAAATGTAATGTGAACTCCAATGAATGAAACACTCCAAGTCTTGTAATCCTTATGTGTTGTAAATGTGTAAAAAAAATGTTATTTTTAATTTCAGAATTCATTTGCTGCCTTTCCAATTCAAAGACCCACTCAAGGCAGATCACTGACAAGCAATGTTGCCATCAATGATAAAATAACAGAAAACAAGAAATGTTATACAGGTAAGCTGTATGGGTGGCTGGAAAAGACAATGTAAAAAAATTGACTCGTATACACACACACACACACACATATACTTATGTGATTTTAGATAAGCATATGGAGCAGAGGTCCATCAGTGGCTCTTAGCCACAAGGTATAGATAGGGACTCTGGGGCAAGAGATGCTCTGTCTTCTTGGTGC